GTAGAGTGACTAAACTACCCCTATTAAGCCCATATTGTTTCGATATGTGACTAACTATATATATATATATACTCGTGTCTTTCTCGAAATCAAAATTTATCGATCGAATCTTTCAAAACCGCTGATTCTTAGGATTATACGATGTCAACTAGCACGAAGACAGAGGTCGTTCTACCAAACGGAGATGTTTCTTCAACGAAGATAGTATGTCCTTGAATCTCTCATCTTTATATGACTATGATATAAGAAAAAATATATTAGTACACTATTGATTAGGGTTTTATCATTAGTTAAGTTATTATTCGGAAAAACAATATAAAGGGATTTTTAATCACTTTTTTTATATTCATTCTGAACTTGAAAACTCTTATTTCTGTCTGTCTTGTTTAACCTCAACCCTAGCTAAGCTCAGAATCTTTTGTGTAGTCACATGAGTATAGGATGATAGGATCTATGTTTAAGGAACATTGATTCTATTATCTAATTGGAGATTGTTTTTTTTTGGTTTAGTGTAATTTTAATTGGAGATTGATTTCTTGGTTTATTATGCTTCATTTATACTAAAGTTTTAGTTTGCAGTGTTTATGTGTTATAAGGGTGAGAGCATATATGTATTTTGTGATTACTGATTGTTTCTGGAATTGATTGCGAATCTGGTTTTTTGCTTGAATTTGACATATAGAGAACCAGGGGGTCGAAATCATCAATTTTGTGTAATTATAAACTCTCTTTGTATTGTAGTTATTGGAAAATCTACCAGTTCTGCTTGGTGGAATTTGGACAGAGAATAGTAATATACAGCTCAAGGCAACAAATATCTTGCGGAGTCTTGTTTCGAGTGGTTTGTGATTTATGTTATTAATAATCATTTTAAGTATATAACAAATCAACAAATTGTTTATATATATATATGTAGTTTGTTTTCTTTGTAGATTATGAACCGCATACCGATGGTGTTATACAACTTATACTTCTAAAACCAGCTCTACCGTTTCTTGAGCGCCTTGTGCAATTAACAGATGAAGAGGTTCTCGAAAATGCATGTCGGGCTCTGTCATACTTCTCTGGTAATTCAAACGACGGACTAGAGGCAGTTATCGATGCATGCGTTATCCCTCGCCTCTTATCGTAAGCATCTGATTGAGATTTTAATTTTTGCTTATGTTATGGCATGGGATGGTTAAGTTATCTGAATCATGTACTTCCTCTTCTTCTTCTTAGTCATCGGTGTTGTTTCCTGCTCTTCGTACCATTGGAAACATTGTATACGGTGATAAGCATCAGGCTCAGGTGCATATAATACGTTTCATTATTCCTACTTGGTACATTTTCAGAAAAAAAATTGTCTTACAACTTATTATTACTCGCTCAACAGACGGTTCTGGACCATCAAGTGCTTCCTCGTCTCTTGAACCTTATAACAAACAATTACGAGAAGAAAATCAAGAAGGAAGCTTGTTGGATTATCTCAAACATCACAGCTGGGAATTCAAACCAGATACAAGTGAGTTTTATTTACATACCACATTAAAACAACTTTGTGAAGTTTCTTGTGTCTGATTTTAGTTAAACCGCGGATGTGCAGGCAGTGATTGAAGCAGGTATAATTCAGTCTCTTTGTTTGGGTTCAGAATTCAAAGTAAAAAAAGAAGCTGCTTGGGGAATCTCAAATGCTATTTGTGGTGGCACTCATGATCAAATCAGGTAAAACCCCAATTAAGAAAAACTAAAGCTAAATCTTTCCATTAAAAAAAAAAGAGAAAAGATAAAATCTAAAAACATGTTTTTTGTTGTTGTTTTTTTTCTTCTCAGGTTTATGGTGAGCCAAGGCTGTATCAAACCGATATGCGATATTCTTGCATGCCCTGATCCAGTAATCATAACTGCTTGCTTAGAAGCGCTAGAGGACATTCTCGTGGTGGGAGAAGCAGAGAAGAACTTGGGTCATACAGGAGACAATAACCTCTACGCTTCAATGATAGATGAAGCAGAAGGACTTGAGAAGATTGTGAAACTTCAAAGGCATGACAACAACGAAATATACCAAAAAGCCGCCAAAATCCTCGAAACCTTTTGGACTGAAGACGGTGACAAAGAAGGCAACGATGAAAACCACGCTCCGTTTGGGTTTGTTTTGGTATGAAGAAATCATTTGTTTTGCTGATTTTAAACAGAACATTATGTTAGTTCCACTTCAATATCGTGGTTATGGCTAACTAAGCCATAAACATTGGTTGACTTAATAATTAGTTAAATCATTTTGACCCGCAATTTTTAGAAAACAGAGTAGCTAGAATAGCTCTGTTTTTGTTTTTTGATTAACGGACATACACTTTGTTGGCTTTTGATATGGCTGATATATAAAAGGATGCTTGGAGCACAATGACACTGACCACTCATGCATTAACCGTACGAGGAAAGAAAACTATCACGTCCCTTTATGGCTCTGACTTGTATATCAAACTTGGCCATGTCCCTTTATGTTGGTCGTTTTATTACCTTCGTGCTGCTTTGTTGAACCATTGTATAACTATCCAGTTATTTATGAAAAAAGTGATAGATTTTGTGGTTTAATAAAAGAAAACACACAAACAATATTCATTTACCATCGACAGATTTAGAATAGCAAAGTATTAGATAACTT